TCCCTTCATTAGGGTAACTAAATTTTTAATTCTCGAAATAATTCTTAATTCTCAAAATAATTCTTAATTCTCGAAATAATTCTTAATTCTCGAAATAATTCTTAATTCTCGAAATAATTCTTAATTCTCGAAATAATTCTTAATTCTCGAAATAATTCTTGAAAATAATTTTCGAATTAATTCTCGAATTAATTCTTGAAATAATAATTCTAGAATTAATTCTTGAAATAATTCTTGAAAATAATTTTCGAATTAATTCTCGAATTAATTCTTGAAATAATTCTTGAAATAATTTTCAAATAATTCTTTAAATAATTTTCGAAATAATTCTTTAAATAATTCTTGACATTAATAATATACATCACAATTTTTTTTTTTATTAGTACACCACCGCCATTTGATCGTCACGACTGGACGATAGATAGATGTGGTAAAGAAGTTCGATATGTGATTGATTATTATTCTGGTCCAGATGAAGGCGACACACCAGTATTTTATCTTGACGTAAGACCAGCTTTGGATTCGATTGACAGTATTGTTGATCGAATCAAAGTTGCTACCAAAGGAACTTTTGAACAATTCAGAGAACGTGCTAAATCTGCTAGAGCTGGTGTACAAAATTCTAGTGGTGGTGATCGCACGTAAACTAATTATAAACGAGTTGGTAATGAGTTTGTTAGAGTATTTGTTAAATTTTAATAAATTAAAAATATAACATCTAATTTATATATTGTGTACTACTATAGTAAGTTTAGTAACAGAAATTAATAGTGTTGACACCAGTCGTCGCTCCATTTCTTCATTGGGAAATTTTTAACATCAAACTTTACTAATTTATTATGAATATATGATTAGTTTTTAATTCAATTATATGGTTAAATTGCAAAATTTATTTAGAAAAAAAAAATTATACAGTATATGAGAAAAATGTTCTATTGCTCCACTCTATGCTAATAAAGCTCCATTTACCAACATTGAATATTAACGATTCACTTAGGCTTTTGGTATGTTTATTTAGGTTCTCTGAATTGTTCAAATTTTATTTTCAAATAATATAATTATTTAATAATTACACTTTTTGTTTGTGCAGCTCAAATTTAAAACTTTTCACAGCTTTAGATCGATTTAGTTAAGTAAAGTTCTAGGAAATACAGCTATCTTTAAAAAAAAAAACAAAAAAAGAACTTTGTATAGAGAACCGATACATTTATAATGAATATATATATATATTTTATACAAGATCCTACAACAATTTAGACAATCACGAAATTCTATTTCTTAGTAAATTCCAATTGAACAGTAATTTTACCTTGTGCTTTAGGAAAGAATAATGATGATGATGATAAGTCTACAGTCTTTTCGTCTTTTCCTTTTTCGAATACATCTTTAAGATCAATAGTTGTGATGCCCAACTATTTATCAACAAAATAAATTTGAATATAATGAGAAAAAAAAAGAATAACTGATTAGAATAGAAGTAGGTTAAAATCTTACACTATCATCTTTTTTTCCTTCATCAGAATCATAAACATCAAGGTGAAGTTTATGTTTGCCATCTTCTACTTGACTTTGAAGATATATATAGTTAGATTTTTAATAAAACTTGAATAAGTTAACTAAAACACCAATGATATTTGAGATATTTGAGTGTTGCAGAATAAAAACTCATAACTGCATTTTAATGATTTATTACGATCAGTTAGATGTTTTCACTATACAACACTCGTTTTAACACAACACTCATTTTAACATCAATTACTAAATCTCAAAATGATTTTGTATCTGAGGGACGTTATCGACACGTACATGCTGTATCGGTATAACTATAGATGCTGGTGAAACTGGTGAAATTTAATATAACAGCCAATCAGATTTTAGTTTCACCAGCATCTATAGGTATACCGTCTCGTATCTGACGCTCCATTTTAACTTCTAATCCGAAATTTTAATAATAAAATATATGATTTTGGATACCATTGGTGTACTTTAGTATTATTCTAACTGAAAAATAAAAGAAATTTCAAAACTTACAAAGTAAACGATTCATTCCAAACCGGTGATAAGTCACCGGGTATGGTCTGTGTTTTCTGAACATATCCACTTTCAATGTAAACATTTACATAGGGATCACCTTTCGTTATGGTTGCAACAAAATAAAAGTTAAACAAATGAAAAATAAAAATAATTGATATGATTATGATATAAAAAATTTGCATACTTTTTCCTGAAATTTCATTTTTTATTTTTCATTTTTTTCGATTTTTTTGTTTTATTGGGTTACAAAAAAAGAGTAAATATTGCTTGATTTTTTAATTTTTATTTTGGAGAATCATAGTTGTTTTTACCTTTCTCATCTTTGTTTGGCAGGTCTTTAGCACTCACTGGATAGTTATTCAGATATTTCAAAATTTTATTGTTAAACTCGAAATATCATTAAAAATAAATAAATAAATACGTAGTCATAATATTTACCAACTAAAACTTTAAGTTGTCCAGTAGGCATGATTAAAAAAATTTGTTTTGTTAAGACTGCGTTTTCTTTTTTTCTTTTTTAATAACGAAATCAGGATATTTCTGACGTAAAGAAAAATTTTTAACATCTATTTAAAATTAACTTATCCAGTTACTTGCATTAAAAAACGCCATTCTTACTATTATTATATACTATATACAGTTAGTACGTATCATTTTTTTTAAAATATCCGCTATCATGTCGTGTAAGTACTTACACAAAATTCCCATTCCTAAATCTTACCTTTTATGTTCTTATTTAAAATTTACGCTTTCATCTTTTTTTTCTCACCCATCACACGATTTAGTTAAAAAAAATTTTTTTTATTGATGATGCAATGATGACATTTCATGATTTCGTGATACGTATGATTTCTAGATTTCTAAATGGTGCAACAAAACCATCCGATATCTAGATGGCGCAACAAAACCATCCGATACCTCCTGCATTGTAACAAATTTCCGAAAACCTGCTTTTCTAAAAATGTATAATCCTCAATAAAGAAAAATGTGACTTTCTAAAAAATTTTTATCACTTTTTTTTTTTTTTTACATATATCCATGGTGTGAATAGCAATACCTATGGTAAGAATAGTAATTTACGTATAATTGTCTTTACTTATTCCGGTACGAATATAAAAATAGATTATACATTTTGGGTACGTATTATGAGTACTTATTAAAGTTTATGATTTTTTTTTCCCTAATATTCTTTTTTTCTTTAACCATACATAGATTTTAACTTGCATTATAGTCATTTACAATGAAAAAAGAATCATATTTTACATAAATTATACGAAATTACTTAGAGGGCTACAAAATTTAACGTTAATGCAGGTAAAAAATTAATAGATTTGCGTTGACGCCAATGTTACCACAAAAAAAATTTTCCGATGTCGATATGTAAACAAATCGGATTTCAAGATTATTTGATGTGAAAAGATTTCATTCAAATAATAAACCTTATCATTAAGGTTAGAATCAGGCTTAGAATAAGGCGCATATTTTATTTCAAAATTTTGCAGAATTGTTTTTTTTTGTGCGCAGATGATTTCATAAATAACATTTCGGGGGTTTTTTTTTAAAAATTGCAATTTCCATTATACGGTCGTACTTCTCTATTCACCGTTTGTAAAATATGTGATTATAAACATTCTATTATGATCTATTATGATATGCTTATACAGAAGTATTTTTTATAAGTTTTTATTAATGAATTTTTTCACAATTTAAGGTGATGATATAGAATTTGTGATTATATAGGTGATTATAGAGGAGAAGTCTAAAATTAAAATTTATTAAAATTTTGAACTTGGTTATACGTAGTGAATTTTATGAACCGATAAATTTAACCTAAACACGCCAAACTTTAATTTTGACCAATGCTAGATGATTGACCGAATTATGTACAAACTCAATAAATGAAAGCTTATTCATATGTTCGAAATTTTCAATCGATGATCGGATAATTATTCAACGATTTCTAAAAGGTTACCCACCTACTCCCGTTCATATCCTCGCTGTCCGTGGATAAAACTAATGTGATTAGACAAAACTAAGTAATTAAGCATATTAATGTGGTTATGGATTGCATTTATACAAAATTTCGAGCAAACTTTTTTAATTTTAATTATCAAAATTTATAAACATTTTTTTTAAAAAACTGTTATGTAGTAATTTTATTGCCAGTTAATACAATTCAAAACTTTACAAATAAATTATATGATTGATAAGAAGCCTCCCATATTTTATTTTTTTTACAATATTGTTTCATGAAAAAAAACCAAGTTGGTTATAGAGAAAAAACAATTATGCAGCGGTTTCCAATACCAAATGAACTTTTCCTTTGCTCATCAAACCAAGCATAGCAGGCAGATTAACCCATTCATCAGCATAACCATTATGGATGCTGCTAAGACTGACTTTACCTACGCCAATCTATTAATAAAAAAAATTATGAATATCTTTAGTTATTTAAACGAACAATAATAATAATAATTACCTCATCATCTGAAACTAGGTCCTTATCCACTACTCTGACATGAAGGTGTTTGTGCCCGTCGCAATTGCTATATGGAAAAATAATAATTATTGAAATTTAATTATTGAAATTATTAGATGGCCATTAATTGTTAATATAAAATTTATAAAGATAGTTACAAGGTGAAAGTTTCGTTATATGTTGGGTTCACAGTGTTGTTCTTGGTTGTAGTCTTTTGTTTATAATTTTTGTCAAGCCAGAGTTCAATATAAGGATCACTTTTTCCTACAATGTCCTCATCTTTCAAGTCTTTGGCTTCAACTATTTTTTAAAAAAAAATATATATATTAACATGTGAGAAAATTCTAAATTTTTTTATTTTGCAAATTGATATTTACCAACGGTAACTTTAAGAGGTCCCTTCATTTTCGTTTTTTTTTTTTATTTGAATTGTAATTTGATGTGAAAAAATTTAAAAGTTGTTCAATTTATAACTTTTCTACAAGTTTTTGGCGTGTGAATATAACTTATTCAATATAAAATACATATATTGACGCAATTATTACAATTTAGTAAACATTAACAAGCAACGGGAAATTTTGGATTTAGCGTTAGGCGTAAGATTACAATGTACATATTTGATTGAAATCACGGATAGATGTTTTGGCGCGGGTTTATACAAATTTTGCGTGGCCATCATGCGTAAATAAAGTATTAGTTTACATGATACATATAATATGGTAAGGACATATTACATACGTACGTACGTACGTACATGAAATTACATCGATATTTAATAATATTGACGTAAACTTTGGCGTCACAAAATCAATATAATCACCAAATTTTTTTTATATTATATTTATATATAAATTGTTACTTGATATAATCGCAAATTATAAAAATTCTTTATTTTTATAAAAAATAAAAAATTTAATCTTTGTATAAAATATTACTATTTTAGTTATATTGAATTTTGGTTATTAATTTGATAATTATACAGTACTATATTTTAAAATTAGATTATATAGTATATATGGGCTAGGTGCTGAGAAAAGGGACCAAATTGACAAAACAAAAGATCTTCGGAAAATCAATTTTTGTATTGTAAATCTTATAATAGATTATAAGAAAAATGAAACTTTAAAGGACTGTACTGCAAAATTTTATTAATGCAACTACTTTTGTGTTATAGATAAAAAATGATCCTAATATTATTTTAAATTTATTTATGTAAAAAAATTACTTTTGAAAAAATTGTCAATTTGGTTCCTTTTCCCAGCTCCTAGCCCATATATATTACAGTATATAAACTATATATTTATTTAAAAAATATATTTTATACAAAATTTTATAAATAAAATTATTTTACTATTTAAAATATCTTTAGTGTTATTTTAATAAATTTTTAAAATATTAAAAAAAAAAATTTGAAGTTATATAAATATAGTGTAATATAGTGAAATTTTATTAGTATATTTATATTTATTAGTTAAATATTATTAGTACAGTTTAAATTTTTATTAGTCAATTTTTATTAGTTGAAATTTTATTAGTTATATATATATATATTTTTTTTTTCTGTTATAATTGTGATATTTTTCTTGGAATTATTGTATTTTTCTTGAGTTATAATATTGTTTTATCTGTGTTATTCTTTTGAGCATTCTTTGAGTTAATAAAAATCTATCTTTAGTATAAAATCTGTTGGTTATAATCTTTTTTATTTAAGGTCATATTGGTAATAAGTTGACAATATTTTAGAATATATTTAAGTTA